CGGGAGGCGGGCTGCTCTGCAATTAATGCACGCATTTAAAACTCCCGAAGCTGTGGACGCCATGCACAGGTAAGCCGATTACAAAGAGCGGCAGCGTATGAATGGACCCAGTTAATTCTTTTAGGCCTCGAGTATTGTTACTTACTAATATTGTTATTAATGCTGTAATGTGAAGGGTTGTTGAGCTCTTTAGGGAAAGCGTGGATGGATGGATGATGTAGTGCTCTGATCAGCGTGCAGCTATATTGGGCTTTCCTCTGCTGTTTTAAATCGCTGTGTGATCGCCTCCCTCTTTTCTTGTTGCCTCCACTTTAAGAAATTCTTGGAGCCTTGCAACATGAACGTAAATTAAAAAGCCTTTCTCATTTGTTCGGTTTTCTATGTCATTCTGGGAAACTCGCCGCTGGTACATACAAAATGCAATTGTTAGTCGCTTTGAAAGTTTTCTAGTGCTTAACTTGCAATTTCATTCAGGCCTACCTTGGAATTTTTTTACGGGTGTACTTTTGGAAGGAACTGGGACTATTGTACATATCTGCAGGAAACACCTCCAGGAGATTCCCGACCAGAGTAGCAACGTTACTACCAGCTTCACGTGGGGATGGGATTCTAGCAAGACTTCTGAATTGCTCTCAGGCATGGGGGTGTCCGCCCTGGAGAAGGAAGAGGTGGACAGTGAGAACATCCCCCAGGAGCTGCTGTCCAACCTGAGCCACCCTCAGAGCCCCCCACGAAAACGGCTGAAGAGCAAAGGGAATGACAAGGACTTTGTGATCGTCCGCAGATCTAAGCTAAATCGAGAGAACTTTCCAGGTAAGGTATGAAGGTAAAACCGTCAGTCACATAAAAGGTGAATTGAACAGTTTTCTTGGTAAACCTTTGTTCAGAGATCTTAGGATGGGGCTCTTTAAAAATTGCCTAATTTTGAAGTTACTTTCCAAAGAAATGGGGCAATTCATTATCATGGAAGTCTACAGGAATCTTAATGGGTGTTTATCTTCTGGTGTACAATGGACTTTTAAGCAATGTGAAATTTTAACCTATGAAAGACCTTCCTGCCTTTTTCCTTAGAAGGGAATCTGCCTGCTCAAAGGCCAGCTCAGTGCCACTAATAAATGAGAATTTAAGCAATGATCTTGTAGGATTCTTTTTGTTCATATTCTGCTGTTCTGTAGCCCTGGTTGAGCTTTTTGCCATAATCATATAAGTTGTCAAAGGACTGCTCAAGTGAATGTTAAATTATCCAGAGGAGGCTTCACTCCCTAGGTCTGCTCCCAAGAGGGATTCTTATGTATGCTCTGTCTCCATTACTGCCAGTATTCCCTGTTGAGTCACCCAACCCCAAAACCTGAGGGTCAGTCAGATTCCCGTCATCTCCCATTATCTAACCAATCATTGAAACTTTTCCTCTTGCCTCCTAAATATTTCTCAAGGTCTCATCATCTCATGCTTAAATATTGGAATGGACTTGTAATTCGAGGCTTATCTTCCCCAC